CTAAGTGTTGGATATAAAAAGGTTATCAAACAATCTCCGTTACAGCTCAAAATTAACGAACTCTTAACTCTTTTCAATATTTTCAATATAATTAAATCATACAAATCAATCATCCACACACATCACATTAAATTTAATTCACTATTCATCAACTCACAAAATTTTAATTACTCTTCACGTTTAATCACATATCTCATACTTTTATATCAAATTACTTTAATCTTTTTATTTCATATACTATTTTAATACAAACTCAACATACCATTTCAACCCAAGATTGTCTGCAACTGAGGCGCGAAACACATTTTTTTCAGTCAAAGTCTCCACCCGAACTGCGACATTCTCTGCAAAATGCGTTCATCGGCTTCCTCTCTCCTTCTCAAATGCAATTTTCCGTTTCAACGTAAATTTGTGTTTGATCTTTTTCTAATTGCACATAGGTCTTTCTATTCTTCATTTATATTCTAACAACCCTACTCTTATATATATAATATATTACATTTAGTAATTGTTTTGATAAAAAAAATAAAATTTAATTAGTATTGTTGTAGTTATTTTTTGTATTATATATAATTAATATATATAGAAAAGACTACAAATTATACACATAAAAAACATTAATATTACCAAATTGAAAGATAACATAGAAGTACAAAAACAAAATACATCATGAGCCATGAAAAGTAACACACAATTGCAAAAAAGAAAAATACATTATAAATTATGAAACTAAACAGCATACATCTATTTAGTCATCTGGAAAATTGGCACCACTTCCTCCCAAATTATTGAAAAGCTGCCCAAATATGTCAGTTGGAAATGAATCAGATTGGGCTTGTTGAGCTCTTTTCTCTAAAATTCGTGTCTTTTCAACTTCTGTTCGAACTCTAGGATCTTTTATAGAATGAAATCTTGAAAATGAATTTTATTTTCTTCACTCTTTCTTTTAGAGCGTGGAATTTTTTTTGCATTTTCAATTGATTTTCATTTGTTTGTCTGATTATTTCAATACCTTACGAAGCTTGTTGTTCTCTTCCTGCATGTTATTTCAATACCTTACGAAGCTTGTTGTTCTCTTCTTGCATGACATTGATGAGAGATGATGAATCACCATTTATCTTTCTTTTAAGTTTGACTTTCTTCAACCCGATAGGTCTTTCAGATGAAAAATCATCTGAGTCGTCTTAGTTTAGAGAAAATGAAGAAATGTCGGGGATGCTTGGCAGGCAAACTCAGGAGTCGAAGAGATATAATGACAACATTGATTTTCTTGCTTCTCGAGCACCGTCTATAATTTTTTAGAATTCTTAATAATATCCCAAACGTGATCGTATTTCTACGCGGATTTGAATTTTGGGATTTTATGCGAACAACACTTTTTGCTTTGAGCATCTACAAGTTTTATAAAAACAATTAACCACTATTAATGTAAATAATAAGTTTCAAAAATTAAAAATATAATAATATTTTAATTCTCACCGTATTTTCATTTGAAGCACCACTCTGATGCATTTTTTCTACAACTTTTATGCAATGCGTTCAGTCTCTTGATTGCTTTCTCAATTGTTTAAATTCGTGCTTGCAAAGATCACTTGGTACGAACCTCCTAATGCTCAAGTTTTCTCTGTTGAAAGCTTCTTCTATACAAGACCAAAATCGATCAGATGATTCGTACCCCAATAATTAGGTCCTGAGAAATTTTCATATAATGACATAAAAGAATATCTTCGTCGTGGTGAGGAAGATGAACAGATCGACATTCTTACAAGAAGTTAGATGTGATAAAGTTTTAGTGTATAAGAATAATAATATTGGGATGTAACCATTACAATACAATATCTTCTTTTACAGTGAATATTTCTCACCCCTCTCTATGTTTCTCACAAGGAAATGATAACTAACTGCAAAGACCCTCACATCTCTAAATGTTTTGCCGAAGTGACCACCTCGACAAAGGTTCTCACACTTCTCAAAGTTCTGACTCGAAAATGACATCTTACTGCAAAAGACCCGCACACCCCTCTCTGTGTTTTTTTACCTGAAAATGTCAATTAACTGAAAAAACACTCACAATTCCCAATGTTTTGACCCAAAACAAACACTTTCTGCAAGGGTTCTCACATTTCTCATAATTCTGACTTGAAAATAACCTCTCACTGCAAAAGACCCTCACCCCTCTCTATGTTTCTGACCTGAAATTACCACTCTCTGCAAAGATTCTTACATTTGACAAAGATCTGACTCGAAAACGACCTATCACTGTAAAAGACTCACACCCCTCTCTATGTTTCTGACAAAAAAATGACCACTATCTGTAAAAGACTCACACCCCTCTCTGTGTTTTTGACTTGAAAATGTCAATTAACTGAAAAAACACTCACAACTCTCAATGTTTTGACCCAAAACAACCACTTTCTGCAAGGGTTCTCACATTTAGTTTTGACTTGAAAATGACCTCTCACTGCAAAAGACCCTCAATCCTCTCTATGTTTCTGAACTGAAATGACCGCTCTCTGCAAAGATTCTCATATTTGACAAAGATCTGACTGGAAAATGACCTATCATCGTACAAGACTCACACCCCTCTCTATGTTTCTGACCAAAAAATGTCCACTATCTGCAAAGGTCCTCACATTCTCAATGTTTTGACCCAAAAAATGACTACTATGTCCAAAAGTTCTCACACTTTTCCATGCTTTGAGCCAAAAATGACATCCCACTACAAAGACCATCACGTCTCTCAATGCTTTGACCGAAAATGGCAACTATGTGCATAGATTCCCACACCTCTCAAATGCATTACTATAAAAAGATAACAGATGCACATTGTCACATACTTCAATCTCTTCCAACGTCGTATCAAGTTTCTCTTATCCCGCATTTCTAATATCTTAAATGAATTATAATTGTAGTAATTTATCATCTTCCTCATCTGATGATGGTGATAATCATATGCTAATTATGCATGCTCTTCGAAAAAACAAGAAGTGATGACTCGTGTTATCGCTAATAACAATATGATCACTCAACACCTTCTCCAATAACAAAACCACCAAGCCTCCCATGGAGGTTTTGTTCGCGGGGATATATTTATCAATCGTGATCGAGAGACTGTTGTTCAAAAGTTGTACAATGATAATTTTTCTGATAATCCAATGTATAACGAGACAATGCTTCACAGAAACTATCGAATGTCTCGCTCGTTGTTCATTTGAATTGTCACTGCAGTCAAAGATCATGATTATTACTTCCAACTGCGAGTGGATCGAACTGGCAGACTTAGATTCTCTCCAATACAAAAAATGATTGTTGCCTTTCGTATGTTGGCATACGGTGTTCTAGCAGATGCTACAGACAAGTATTACAAAATTGGTGAGCCTGCTACAATTGAAAGTAAGAAAATGTTATGCCGAGCGATAGTGGAAGTATTTAGAAAACGATATCTGCGGAGGCCCACATCTGATGATATTTCTAGACTTCTATATATTGGTCAGCAATGTGGTTTTTTAGGAAAAATTGCCTACAACGTGTGGTGAGCAATATGCTGGTTGTAGTGGAAAACTTATAATCAATCTTGAAGCTGTAGCAAATTATGATCTATGGATATATCATGCTTATTTCAGTTTTTCGGGCTCGAATCATCTCAGATTTTATCGATTCTAACCCAAGTATTGCTCCTCCAGCTCATTATATAAATCAAGAAAAAAAATACAACATGAGTTTATTATTTAGATGATAACATATATCCAAAACAGTTTAGCATTGTACAAACAATTCATGAGCCGTGTGGTCCGAAGAAAAGATATTTGCAATGACACAAGAAGCATGCAGAAAAGACGTTGAACGGGCATTTGGAGTTCTCCAATCACGTTTTGGCATTTTAGCAGGACCGATGCGTTATTGGAGAAAAGAAGTGCTACATGGTATAATAAACACATGTATAATTTTACATAACGAGATTGTCGAGGATGAACGTGACCTAAGTGCATCGATCAAAACTGAGATGGAAAAACTGCCGCCAGAGGTCGAAATAGCAATAGATGAAAGTACTCGATTTCAGGAATTCATATGCCAGTACAAAAAAAAAAATTAGAGATAAAGATGATCGCATTGCATTTCGGAATGCACCAAGTGATCATTTGTGGGAAGAAATCACCATTTTCGAGACTTGAAAGACTGTATTTTACACTGTACGAATAATTATTTTATATTCATTTCGGTGTATTTTTATTTTTCACCTCGTGCATTGTAATTTTTAATAAACATTTATTTGTATGGTTTTAATATGTGCATGAATTATAAATTTATAATTAATTTTATAACATAAATCTTAAATGGAATTCAAAATAATATTATGATGTACTTTGTAAGGTAAAATATATAGATAATATTGAAAAATTGTAAAAATTGATGTAAAGAGAATGTGCGGAAAATATTCTTTTGGGTTTGAAATGAATTTTCTAACTGAAGGTGAATTATTGTTTGACGTGACAATTACTGCAAAATAGGTCCGAAAATGAGTTTTTCAATTAGAGATAACTGAACTCAACCAATTTTTTTGAAGATTAACCTTAATTAACTAAAAAATTCAATAATAAAAAAA